GGAGGGAGGGAGGGAGGGAGAAGGGGAGGAGGAGGGAGGAGGAGAATTGTGGGCTCTCTGAGCTTGGTTGTTTTCTTGCAGACGTCTCATGACTCTACTAGGTGACGTCATCAGTGCTAGAAGGGAGCAGTAGACCAAAGTCTCTCTGTCTAGATACAAGTGGTTTGCTCTATCAGTGTTGGTGGGAGTGTTCTTGGTGATTCTCCTTGATTAGGCTGTAAAAAGGAACTGCAGGGATGGCTCAGGTTGAAAATCCACCTATGGACATGTCCTATAAAACCCCCGAGACCTCGGGGACTTCCGGTTTGCCAGGCTTCGGTGGCAGCAGGGATTTGCGATCCTGCGCGATCCCTGTTGTGCTAGCTGTCTTGGTGCCTCCGATCTCGACGGGTCTGGAGGATAAGGCTGCCCCGTAGAGGCAGCCGAAGACAGGGGGATCCGGATAGGGGTTTGGGGGTATCGCAGACCCCCTCCCCAGCCAGCAAAACCCCCTTCTCTCAAGGCGGTGGAGCGGCGGTCAGTAATGGCCACCACAAAGTAGCCGGCAGCTGGACAAGACTGTACAGGAGGAAGAAGGAGAAAGTTTTGAAGTGAAAGTTCTTTGGCTGAACCGGGATCTTAAGATACATCTAATATCCTGAAAACCAATTTCTTGAACGATACTTTGTTTCCAGAGGAGATTTTTACAGCGGCGAATGGAAGTGCTGAAAGGGAAAGTTTACTCTCCTTCCCTACGGAGTTAACAAATGGACATTGAAAAACCTGCTTTTTTATAGAAGGTAAAAATTTAAAGCTCTTTGTTACAAGTGGGAAGGGAGAGGACAAAAAAAAATTATATTAAGATCTTGTTGGAGGAGATGCCTTGAAGATTTTGAGACTAGAAGTTAATTGCAATAAGGCTTTAAAATACAGACTGGGTTCTTTTTTTAATTGATATTACCCCAGGAAGAGAAAGTGTAAAGGGAAGAACTTTGTGCTCTGTTTGGACTGTTTGATGACTCTGGGACTTGGGGGAACTGCTTTAAGTTTTGAAACATCTTGGTTGTTTTAAGAAGAAGAAGGTGGGGGAGAAGAAAAGGTTTATAATGGCTTTATCTGTTGATGAACTAAGAAAGGAATATGGAAAAACAAAGAAAGAAGGCAAGGACGCTTTGGGAGAAGCCTTTCACTTTTTAGAAATGGCGCTTGCTATTTATCAGCAAACACAACAACTGATGGAGAAAGCAGAAGAAGAAGAAGAAGAAGAAGAAGAAGAAGAAGAAGAAGCCATCTTTAATGAATCAAAAAGTCTGATTAAGAAAGAAAGGAGAAAGAGAGGAGGAAGGAAAATGAAGGACTTAAGACCTAAAAAAACACCCAAGAAAGAGAAAAATAAGATGCAAAATCAATACAATGTTAGAAAGCAAAAGAAAAGAGGAATACAACAGAGAGGGGAAGCTAAAAAGGCGGAGGTTAGGAGAGGGGGTGGGGTTAAAAAGGCCAGGTGGGATAAGAAAGGAAGGGAAAGGGGGGCGGGGAAGCCACAAAGGTATGAAACAAGATGGGAAAAAGCAAAAAAATTTTAGGGATAAAGAGTAATGTATAATTTAAAAAAAAAAAAGATTCTGCAAAGTACATAAGATAGTATTGTAGTATTTGTATTAGAAATAGAAAATTAGAATTTGATAAGATTTAATAAAAGATTAAAAGATTAAAATGCTTAATAATGATAGATTTTAAGATTTAATAAAATATTAAAGGGAACGTTTAAAATATTTAGTTCAATTATAGAGTTTAATTGACTATTGTGTTGATGTTATTATAAACTTATTATTGCAGCATTTGTTTTTGAAATAGATAATTGGAATGTTATAAGATTTAATATTTAATTATGTACTTAATTATTTTATAGATTTACTATTCTCTCTTTTTCTTAAAATTTAGTAGGTAGAATGTACTAAGCAGAATCAGATTGGGAACTAGGTGTTATTTTAAATGTCAATTTAGGGGAACGATAGAAAGGCATCATACTTCGATTAGTGATTTCAGGAGAAATCTTTTTTTTTATTATTATTATAGGGAATGAGATAAATGGATAATTGGAAAAGAATGGACAAAAGATACAAGTATAATGATTTAAATTAAGATGAAATAAATAAAATAGAATTAAGAAGAGTGAAAAGCGGGGAGAAATTATATAGAAGATATAGAATGGTAAATAAGATAGGTAATGGTATATAAGATGAGCATGAATTTAATTGAAGTCCGTATAAAGAGAGGTAATCTGGGGCCAAGCCACTTTCTAAAAAGAAGTTTTATGTTTTTGTGTTTTGTGTGTTTATGTTTGTTTGAGAATTAATAAAACCTTGGAGGAATGTTAGATGAGAATAATTGTAAACAAGTCAGAGGGAAATATGAATATGATGACTATAAAATGGATAAATATAGAAAAGAAATGTAATTGAATAAGAGTAAAGAGAAATAGTGAGAAATTTGTTAAAAGATATTTATGTGTCCATATGGAAATGGGATAAATTAGAATTATGTTGTATAAAATAATGTTTTATCTGCCTTGTAAAAATTTATAATGGAAAGAGGTTTTATGTTTTCAATGTTTAATGATGTTTTGTTTGTCTTTAAAATTAATAAAATTTGTCTCAAAAAAAAAAAAAAATCCCCGAGACCTCCAGATTTCTTTGAATGGGATTCGTACCTCCCGTTCTGCGTCTTCTCCAAGCACGTTCCATTTGATCTGGTAAAGAACCACGTCAGAAGCTGCGGATGCTTCCCATTCCAGTTGGACCTCACTTCTGGAGAGCTCGGTGACCTTCAGCTGGCTCGGTGGGGGCACCTTTACTGGAGGGGGAAGCGGGGGAAAGGGAGGAACAAGTGAAGACCATCTCAGGTTCGGCCCCACATTTCTCCACTACCGAAAATCTCAGCCAACCTGCATCCCATGCGGCAGAGCAGATGGGGAGGGAATCTCGGCCTCTTTAACCAGCATCTTCTCCAGACACCAAAGGATTTTCCAGACCTTATTTTGTCTGGAATGGAAGGCCCGGTGTGTAATACTGAACAACTGCAAATTAAAGACTCATTATTTCATTTTAGCAAGGCCAATCTAAGCTGGCATTTTCCAAACAAAGTGAAAATCCAGGAGAAGTGTTGAAAGAAGCAGTAAGTCAAGGAGAAATTGAAGAGGCTGGACAGTCACTTGTCTGAAATGGTATAGGCAGGGATGGGATTCAAATTTTTTAACAACCGGTTCTGTGGGCGTGGCTTGGTGGTCATGTGACTGGCTGGGTGTGGCCAACTCAACATCACTCACATCGAGGCACGCATCTCCCCGCCTGGCCTCTCATGACTGTGGGGATGCTGCAACAGTCTTAAGTGTGAAAAACGGTCATAAGTCACTTTTTTCAGCGCCATTGTAACTTTGAATTGTCACTCCACACAAGCAAAGTACCAGCTAAAGAGGGAAAGGAAACTCCAGAGAGGTTTCTGAGACAGGAAGTCTAGTCCTGCCAAGAATGTAATAAGGGTTAACAGAGAGGCAGTTTCTGTAATTCCTGCCTTCCTTACAGGATTAGGCCAGTAATTTCTTCCAACAACCGGTTCTCCGTACTGCTTAGAATGTTAACAACCGGTTCTAGAGAATAGGTGCGAACCGATAGAATCCCACCCCTGGGTATAGGGTCTCCTGCGAGCAGGGGGCTGGACTAGAAGACCTCCAAGGTCCCTTCCAGCTCAATTCTGATCGATGGACAAATCTGTGGACATATTCAACAATAATTCCAGAATTACAGTCTAAACTTAAAAAAGAAAAATCCCAGGAAAGATATCAGAGTATATTCATGAACTGGAATAGAGCATAGTAACAAGATCAGCCAATGAATAGGCATAGCAACTAAGTCAGCCAATGACGACTGTTTGGAAACTGAAACTAGAAGTAGCCTAGGCGTGGCTCTGTATTCAGCTCTGCAACTCTGCAGCTATGTGAAGCTCTGAGTCTGTCTATTGAAAATGAAACCGCTTCTTTCCTCTTGCTTGCCTGATGAACTAAAGTAGAAGAGAAACTAACTTGCTTGCTGAAGACTGCAGTTCTGCTACTGAAGTTATTTGCAACATGTTTCTGTCTGAGTTTGCTCCAAGTTGGAGAAATCTACAACTGGTTTGTAAAATCTACTTATTGTGTTTATAAAGATGTTAAATGAAGCATCAACCATCTGTGTTTATTTTTCTGGCACTGAATGAATGCTGCAAAACTTCGAACAAAAGAGATAAAACCAGAGTCGCCTGACAATGAGATGGGCAGCATATTAATTTATTAAATAAGATGCATTTTTTATTTTCCAAAGGAAAAAGGTACAGGTAGTCCTCGAGTTAGGCAGTGTCCATATAAAGTTACAAGGGCACTGGAAAAAGTGACTTATGTTCATTTTTCACACTTATTATTGGGAGTAAGGGTTATTTTATCTAGTGTGGTTATTTTGTTGTATTTATCAGCCACAACTTAACACTGAAAGGATAAGAACAGAAAGTTTCTTCAGGTAGAAACAGGAAGAAACAACAGCTTTCATCCCACCAGGGATCTGGAAGAAGATAAAAACACCTATGGTGTTTGAATTAACCAAATTCTAAACACTATCCAAATGTTTCTACACTTCGTATTATACTCCAGCTGTCGTCCTAAAGCAATTGAACTTAAGCTTCGATCCTTCGTGTTTTAAGAAACCCATCAAAATCACAGAATAAAGAGTTGGAAGGGAACATTCTAGTTCTTCTAGTCCAGGGGTATCAAACTAGATTTCTTCGCGGGCCGGATCAGCATTGTAGTTCTCCTCCATGGGCGGGGGGGGGGAAACCAAGGGGGAGATGGCACAGGCACCTCCTGCTGGCGAAAACAGGGCATGGGGGGGGCCCTCCAGGGCCTTGTGCAGCACTCTGCCGGCCGAAAACTGGCTGCACGGGGGCTTTGTGGGGCCTCCACGCGGCTTGTTTTTGGCTGGCAGAGTGCTGCTAGAGGCCGGGAAGGCCGAAAGCAGGCCTCACAGGGGCCTCGCAGGGCCTCCACATGGCCCATTTTTGGCCAGCAGAGTGCTGCTGGAGGCTGAAAACGGCTCCCAGGGGGTACGTGGCCCCCCATGGCCCATTTTGGCCGGTAGAGGCACTGCAGGGCAGTCCGGTGATATTTCCAGGGGCCAGATTTAAGCACCCCGCAGGCCAGTTCCAGTTCCCAGGCCTTGAATTTAACACCCCTGTTCTAGTCCAACTGTCTGCTCAGGAGATCCTATACTATTTCAGACAAATTGTTGTCCAATCTCTTCTTAAAAACCTCCAGTGATGGAGAAACCACAACTCCTGGAGGCAAATTGTTCTGCTCATTAATTGTTCCTACACTGTCAGGAAATTTCTCCTTATTTCTAGGATTCGTCCTCTCCTTGGTTAGTTTCCCTTTATGGCTTCTTCTTCTTCTGCCTTCAGGTGCTTTGGAGAATTAGTCAGTCCTCTCTTCTCTGTTGGTAGCTTCTCAAGTACTAGAGGACTCCCATCATATCCTCCCTTGGTGGCGCAGTGGTTAGAGTGCCAGTACTGCAAGCTACTCCCACTGCAATTTGGCAGATCGAATCCCACCAGGCTCAAGGTTGACTCAGCCTTCCGTCCTTCCGAGGTGGGTAAAATGAGGGCCCAAAATTGTTGGGGGCCATAGGCTGACTCTGCAAATCGCTTAGAGAGGTCTGTAGAAGCACTATAAAGCAGTATATAAGTCTTTATTGCTAAGTAGGAAGGAAGGAAGGAAGAGCCACGGTGGTGCCATGGTTACAATGTAGCATTGCAGGTTAACTCTGCCAATTGCCAGCCGTTCGATCCTGACCTGCTCAAGATTGACTCAGCCTTTCATCTTTCCGAGGTGGGTAAAATGAGGACACAGATTATTGGGGACAAGAGGCTGACTCTGTAAACCACTGTGAGAGGGCTATAAAGCACTATAAAGCGGTATATAAGTCTAAGTGCTATTGCTATATCACCCTTCGTCCTTCTCTTCATTAGACTAGACATACCCAGTTCCCGCAACCCGTTCATCCTACGTTCCACCATCCAGTCTCCTAATCATCTTTGTTTCTCTTTTCTGCGCTCTTTCACGAAGGTCAACACCTTTTGTTCTTCTGTTTTGGTGAGCAAAACTGGATGCCATATTCCAAATTAGATCTTACCAAGACATGGTAAAGAGGTCCTAACATTTCACCTGATCTGGATTCTATCCCTCGGTTAATGCAGCCTAGGACTGGGTCATTCTGTACTTACATGTCGTAAAATTGCCCATTATTGGAAACGAGTTCCCTTCATCGTAAACGGAGACCACGCGGACAAAATATTGTGTCAGTGAGGAGAGGGGCTTCAGCACAGCAAAGGAGGCGTTTCCAGGGACCTCCACCTGCAAAGGGAAGAGGTAGAGGCTGCAGAAAGCGGTTTGTTTGCTAATGAATTATTTACTTATTACGTAAAGATATTGAAGAGGCGTGGCGGTGCCGTGGTAAGAATGCAGTATTGCAGGCTAATTCTGCTGATTGCCCACAGTTCGATTCTCACTGGCTTGAGGTTGACTCAGGTTGACTTCCATGCTTCCGAGGTCGATAAAATGAGGACCCCGATTGTTGGGGACAAGATGCTGACTTTGCAAAACTGCTTAGAGGGGGCTGTAAAGCGCTGTGGAGTGGTACACAACTCTAAGGGCTACTGCTATTGATATAACGTAGCCTCTGGGTTTGAAAACAACATATCAGACAATGGGTCTTGCTCTAAGCTGATAAGAGCGATCCTGGTTACTCGTGGTCACTCACCTCACCTACGTTGCTTCCTCTGCTGGAGGAATACATAACTCGGTGACTTTTCACGGCTTGTGAAGCTGCCGCCCAGTTGACATGGACCGACATATGGCTGATGTTGGAGAAATGCAAATAGCTTGGAGGGCTCAGGGCCACTGGAAGAAATGGTGTATGTGTCAGGTGTGAAGAATTAGGACCATACATTAAGTTCCAGTTAAGACGATTTATTGCTCATGTCTTGACAATAGTCAACTAAAGGTCATCACTAAATTGGTGCTGGATAAGAGTCAACAGAATTCAAGAGGGGTTGGGTTTAGATTCCCTGTGGGAATGTAAGGACTCCAGGCTAATTCCTCTCTTGACTCCACCCCCATCTGTCCTCCTCTTCTATCATGATTTATAACACATCTACTCTAGTCTGAAGCCAGTCTAACTCATGCAACAAGGTCAGTGAATAGGACATTGTTCAGAAAAGAGTCTACGAGTCTTTTCTAAACAATTCTTATAAACCCCAACACCTGCATAGAAATTCTTACCATTTCTCAAGTTATTACACTTAAACTGGGTTTACAAAACCCTCTGAATCAGGGGTGGCAAACTTGTGTTGTCACAGCAGCGTCGCGTGACATATTGTGACTTTTCCCCCCTTCGCTAAACTAGGCGTGGGCGTGGCCAACGCATGATGTATCCAGTCTGCGGGCCGCAAGTTTGACACCCCTGCTCTGAATCAACCCTGTAATTCAGAATTTCCACAAGTCCGTGAACTATAAAGAAACCAACTAGGTTGAATCTGCATAATGCTTAAAAACACAGTCACACTAGCCAAGGTTATACTAGCCATTTTTTACATTTTTTTTTTTACAGACACATCTGCTGTGTCATGACTTGCCTTTTAAAACATGTTGTGTGAATACTTCCTTTCAGTTCAGTTTAGGGTCATTTCTTGAACAAAAAAATAAAATTTGTTCAAGAATTTGAACAAGAAGGTTTGTTATCTCTCTTTAGGACTCCGGTTACAGATGGTTGGGAGCAGATCTCTCATAATGGTTGCACCCATCTACTAGCATTTCTCTCTAACTAGAAAGCATCCAATCAAAGCTGTCAAGATTTCCTTAGATCCTTGTGGGCGAAGAAGCTACGGGCCAGAAAAATACACCGCATGACTTACAAGTAGTTTCTTGAATACTTGCAGGGTTGCTGGCATCTTCTCCATACATTGCATAAACTGCTAGGGAGTATTCGGTGCTAGGAGTCAAACCCCTGATCCAAACTTCTGGGTGTTCAACTTTCAGCTGAAAAGAAAGGGTTAAATATTTGGTGGAAGGAAGGAAGGAAGGAAGGAAGGAAGGAAGGAAGGAAGGAAGGAAGGAAGGAAGGAAGGAGGGAGGGAGGAAGGAAGGAAGGAAGGGGGGATGCATGGAGGAAGGAGGGAGGAAGGAAGGAAGGGAGAGGGAGGGGGAGGAAGGGAGGGAGGGAGGGAGGAAGGAAGGAAGGTAGGAAGGAAGGAAGGAAGGGGGGATGGATGGATGGATGGATGGATGGATGGATGGAAGGATGCAGGGAGGAA